CTAGAATTTCATTAACCGCGGCCCGGCCAGAAGGGGACGGCAAATATGAAGAGAAAAAGAGTGGAGACACGACGACCGCGTTTATCGGCGCGAAAGAACTTGTTAAACAGACCGTTTGTCCGTTCCGTCGTTTCCGTTTACCCTTAAACGGTCCTTGGACGAAGATTATCCGGAAGGATGGCTGCTTGGAGTGGCTAACGTTTCACTCGTCGCGCTCGAAAATGTGCTTCAACCGGCGAGATGTGAAAAACGATCTTCCCTGTCGGATATTTCGCTGTTTCGCTGTCCAGCTGATCGTACGTTTCGAAACTCGTGGAAGGAACAGCGGGAAAGAAACGATTGACTGTTTTTTTATTTCGTTTTATTAAATCCCAGACAGTTTGGACGATTTCACGTGACTGTGGAGGGACGGGGAGGGGAGGGGAAATGGGGGAAGGGGTGGGGGAGAAGTGTTTTTTCGTCGGTCGTTGGACGAAACGGAGGAAAAGTTCAAGCGTCGTTCTCAGCCGGTGTGTTTTCGGTCGACACCGACCGTTCGGAATGCTAATGCGTGATTACGGCGCGGCCACGGTCGTAATACGTGAACTTTTTGTGCGACTCACGTGTGCCACGGCCCGCTTAAAACATCCCTTAAATTACCCCCATTAGCAAGGGGCTGAATGCCGGGTAAACGAGGATTTCACTGGCGCTGTTACGCGAGATTTATTCCGTAGGAAATATTCCTTTGGCCCGTTAAATTACATCGTTACCGACCGCCTCTCCCTTCCTGGCCACCGCCGCGCCAGTTGACCTAAACGCACGCGTAAGCCGATTTTCTAACGTATTCTACAACTCGTAAAACTTCGAGCCTCTTCTCACGATACGACTAAATCGAAGTAGAAAGTTTTTCCAACTTCGAGGTGTGAGTTTAGATTTCTCAGATTATTTTTCGCAAATTTCTCACAAGTTTTCAGAATCTTTGCAAGTCCTTTGTTGCTAAATAATCGATCATAGTAAACTAGTACACTTTTGAACGGGATTAAACGTTAGAATCGTCCATCAGGCTAGAGAAGAGCTAGAAATTTGCGTCGTTAAATTCTCACGGCGTCAGCCGACGTGACGTCGGGAGCTGAGTCTCTCGTGTCTCTATCCGAGAGATTCGTTTACTTTCCCGGAAGGTGGGTAACAGCGCCTCGTGTCCGTTAAAGGAGCGGCTCGACGGGGGATATTCAGGACGATTTACAGAATTTAAACAGTCTCTAGGGATAAGGCGGTAGCATGGCAGGTCGGATTAGCAGGCTGCCACCGTCGAAATAATTCCCCCTACTTGCCTTCGCCTGGCCACCCCGTTCAACCTCCGGGGGTGGTTACGTCCTTCCTGCGGGATAAAACAAAACAGCCAGCGGAGTATATTAATGCTCGGCTTAATGTGGCCCGCCTAATTAATGGACCGACTCACCGGATGCCCGCGCTCTCGTTCTAAAAGTAAAAGATAACGCTTCCGCAGAAGCATTATCAAAGACAAAAGCGTTGGCCGCCCGGTGGAAAAGCCGGTTGGAAATTCTTTTTTCTCCGCTCTCTCAGGTCAGGGCGAAAACAGCGCTGACAAGGTATCTCGGCGGTGGAGGACGTGATGCAGTTTCGTGCTGGGGTACATACATACATCGCGGTGTTTACGCGGGCGTGAAGGAAACGCGGAAAATGTTGTTTTTCCGCGGAAGAGATTCCAGGGGTGGTACTCTGGGAGTGTCACGGATGCTGCGGAGGGCGGAGCCTTGAGAACTGCATCGAGACTGCCCAGTCACGTCGATAAATAGAGACCTCCTTTCCGCGGGTTTTCGTTTCGAGAAAAATCTTCCGTCGCGTCTTTCCCAACGAATCGTGACGTGCACGAGGCGAATGAAATCCATTGCGTTCACTCACGTGCGTTAATGGGGATAACAAGCGAATCCGTAATCAGAGAGATCGATTAAAGGGCAAGTTTATCGCGAGAGGGGAGGCGAAGTTCAAAGTCATTCAGCAAAGCGAGAAAAATGCGCGAGGGTCTCGGGATCAGGTAAACACAGATTGCACGGAACTAATTTAATTACATTCAGGAAGATGGTTAACTAAGAAGATCTGCCAATTGGAGAGGACATGTTAGCGGTTGTCGAACATGTACGAGATAATCGAATTATCGTCGCTTTGAGGAGCAGCGCCCGTGGATGATCTGATCACGTACCTGATGAACAGATCGCCAGCGATGCGAGCCGCTTTCGAAGGGTAAGCTCTCTCGTTATGGACCCTTCACGGTTACGTTCCAACGAACCGTTACCAACCACTGCGGTGCTCAGGTTCTGCTCTCGTCGACGATAGTGACTTCTACCGAGTAATTGAAGCCACGCGAAGCACGAAAAGCCGAATAGCACGTATAACTGACAGGTTAACGTTACAAGCGCAATTGCGTCCGCGATAAACTTGCCATCTGAATTGCCCTCTCAGCCGATCTCAGCTTTTTATCTATCGTCTCCCGCGACCGACGGACAAATTCAGCAACGTGTTTCTACCCTTTTGCCGGAGGACAAGCCCTGGCGTTCGGCGCGCGCGACCGGCTGCGAGCTACGAAAATTGCGGAACAAAGTGGAAATTGACCAACCGCATGGAGTCGGCAAAGGTTCCCGTCGAGGTCGTCTCTGGCATTCAGGCTGGCTTCCGCAGGAATTTCCGCGGTCGAATTCCAGTATGCCTGGAAAATACTTTTGTAGAATAAGCCACGTTGCCCGTGGTACATATAGAATAAGCGTCCTCAAGCGAGCCTCAAAGAAGAACGAGCGCAACGAGCGTCGTCCGCGACGACGGTTGATATACGCCGGACGTTTCCTCGAACGCGCGAAACGAACGACAATCGTGTTTTGAAATTACGGATATATACGTGATCGATACCGCGGATGGACGCATGGAATTCCACGCGCGTGCGGGGAATAAACACGCGCGCGTCGCTCATATTTTTCACGATCCGACGTATTAACGATGACTTTAATCAACCAATAATAACAATAAAATATATTAACGTCCGGCATAAATTCAACGCGTCGAGCGTGTTCGATCGTTAGCCAATTATTATGTGGGCAACTTTGCGCGCATTCGAATTTAATAGTTTGCATAATTTACCCGGCTGGCTGGCTATTCTATCGCCACACTTATAGGAGTATAAGGTTACGCATGATAATTGCACCGTTATTTAGATCACATTCGATATAACGATAACTCGGTCAGCACGCAATGGATTCAGTGTAATTAATTAACTCGTACACGGTGTGTATCATGTCGAACGTTGGGGGTTTTGTTCGATCTCGGAACGATAACACGATAAGAAGAGACAATCGCAGGGGCAGCGAATTAGCTTGGCAAACGATGTTTCGTCGTGAAAAATAGTGAAAGTATCCAGTGTGGCGAGGATACGCTGAATAAGGATCGAGCCTGGGTAATATATATGAGGTTCTAAACGCATGAGTTTCAAATATTTCGGTCTTTATTAATTAACGTATCAAAGGCACGGTATTAATATTTGCTTCGCAGTCTCAACCGCATAGAAGATATTAACGTCCCCGTGTAATATTGTGTCCAGGCTAGAGGGAGAGGACATATTGAAACCGCACAAACTTTGCTCATAGCATCCACGGGGTACTCGTAAATATACAGGGTGGCTGAGATCGAATGTCCCCGTGGACGTAGATGGAATTTAAGTGTGTTGTGAAAGGGCCCTGCCAAGCAGGAAGCTGTGCAAGCAGTCGAATTAATCGAAGATGCACACATACGCACATTATGTGTTTGCTTGGTGTAGCCTTCCGATATTATACCTTTGCACAATCACAAAGGTAAAATTTCAGAAAACGTAATTTTATTGAGAGGAGATGTTCAACTTGCTGATTTTTTTTAATATTATTGTTCTTGTTGTGTCGCGTCCGCTTACGGTTAGGACTGACTACTTACGGATGCGCCTAACTACTCTCGCCTCTTTCTCTCTTTCGTTAAATTTTCGTATTGTCGTATGTGCGAAAAGATAACGTATCGTTGGAAATCGTGAACAAATTTGAAACTCTTCGATGATGGACAAGAAGCCATCACTTTTGACAAATAACCTCGTGCGACAGAAATGTTCTTCTCACGTGGCTCAAATTTCTCTCTTCGCCGTCGAAAAAATTCCATTCTACTGCGACGTACGATACGTACGTCGAAGGGTAATGATAAAACAAATACTGTGGGATGTGCTTCAATCGCGCGTATTTACACTCTATATCTGCAACTTACTGTCCGGAAAACGGGATGAAAATATTTTCGATATTCTTCGGCGTTTCAATAACCGGCGAGCCGGCGAAATAAAATAGAACGGGAGAAGGCAAACGGTGCCGATTAAATAAAACGTTAAACCCCGAAATTTCGTTTAAACGAGGGCCGAGGGGGTGGATTATACATACGTCTTCGGGCGAAAACAATTAACGTTTATCGGGAAGCTCGCGCAGCCGTTACCGGACAAGCCGTGTGGTTGTTTCAGACCCGGTGCCGCTTAAACGCGCAATAAGTGGAGAGAAGAGAGGGTCAAACTAATTCGATTCTAAACTCTGACCGCATCGCGCGAGAAAGAGGCGCGCGCGTACCATCCCGGACACGGTCAGGGAAAGACCCTGGCCCCGCACGCCATACCATGGACACAGATGGCACTAACCGCGTCGTTAAATTCTCAACCTGTAACTCTAATTGCTCATAGACAGGCCGACGTCCTCCTCCTAGTGCCAGATGCCGTTGAAACTTGTTGAAAGCACGCAAACGCGATTACTCATTCGATTCTGTCCGATTCTGCCGATGATTTGCCGCGTTTCTGGCTAATCGTGCGCCAACAGAGTTAACAGAATTAGAGTTACAAAGTTAATTGATCGATTCTACCGTATATCGTGGTGTAACGGCGCGTTCTTCGTATTGGTTTATTGCAGCATTCGTTCGTGGAGTTGTTAACGATCAATGGCGACTCTGTTGTGTTACAGGAGATAGGACTGACGTTGCAGGAAAAATTAGGCGACGATGGATGTGAGCAAAAGCGAACCGAGCAAGAACGGGGCTGTGCAACGAGAATGCGGGGGCTGCGGAGAGGTGATCACGGAAAGGTGAGTATCAATTTGCTTCTCCAAAGGGGAAATCAAGTAGCAAATGTGAACGAAACGAACTTATAACTGACGAAAGTATGAAGAAATGATTATATTATACAGCGTAGATTTCGAAACGTACGAATTTGAATGACGGACCAATTGTCAAGGTCTTAATAATATTTCTTAATGATCGAAGAATTGGAAAATTACCAAAAATTACATTTTCTTTCGAAATCGTACGTTTTAGAAACGTTTAATGGCTCGTTAACACTAAAACTACCAAAGTGGTCAAAATGACTAATTCATGATTTTATTTTAGATACACTACAGATGCAGAACAGTGTATTTTTAGTGGTTTAAATGATTTTTTATACATGAATAAAAGTTTGTGTATTCCATTGTATTTCTATTTCTTTCACTTTAATATCTCTGATGAAAATTCTATGCTTTAGTCCGTGATAGTTCTAGTGTTAAATAGCTGGATACCTCAATTAAGGGAGTATTCTAGTGTGAACTTTTGAAAAAATCGATTTTTTTCATATTCTTAAAAGACAGTTTTAAAAATAAATCTGTGAACTCTTAAAATTGACGAAGTTATGGTTGTTTGAAAGACACGACGACCATCGTATACCGCAATACTAAACTTTAAAGGCATTTTTCTGGAAACTATGTTTTTCAGAACGGTGTCCATGATATTTCAAAATCTACTTGACCAATTGACTCAAAATTTTAGCTCCGCATTTAGTACATGTGTGACAATAGCCTCTATCAGAATCAACGAAAGAAATTTTATTTTTTGTATTTTTTTAGGCTTCCGAAGTTAAACAAAAACATGCCAATCGATAATCGAACTTCAAAGTATCGTCACTTTTTTAATTATCGACTTTTTTCTTTTGCTTTGGTACCTGCTATAGCCAAACTCATACTAATTAAGGAACATTTACGTTTTTTTTATTTCCGAGCAGAGTGAACGGAATTATGGACACCGTGAGACGACCTTTTCTAAAAGCGACTATGTTTGAGAATATGCAGTGCCACTTTTAACTTCTTTTGTCCCAAAAAATTTTAAGACGTCGTTGAAATACGTACAAATAAACCTTGTCGATTTGACTGCAAAAGATATAATAGTTTCTTTGCAAAAAATTCCCTATAATAAAGTTAAAAAAAACACGCACTTCACACTAGAATACCCCCTTAATTATTCGTCAATCTCATCTTTTTAAATAAAGAAAGAAGACTGAGTTTTTCACACTACAGGTACCTTCTGAAGGTATTGGACATGTTCTGGCACGAAGACTGCTTGAAGTGTAACAGCTGCAACTGCCGGCTCGTGGAAGCTGGCCCGTCGCTTTTTATAAAGTCTAATCTCATATTATGCAAGAAGGATTATCTAAAGTGAGTAATTTATTCGACTTCCTTTCCGTTCTCGAAACGTATGGGAACGTACGTACATAACGACGAAAGAATCGGCCAGTTCGTAATATTATAATTCTATTCCGGTGTCGAAGCACACCGTTGACGTTTCGTATTTCATTGTGCCGCGATGCACGGGGAACGTCAATAAAGAGGGCAAAGTGGAGAAGGAGACGCCGAGCACGCGTACGGACGCCGACGTGGCGAACGGAAGCAACAAATCGAATTTTACAGATGAGTTTCCCTTATTGAATACATCCACGTCCCATATAAACAGCGCGAGGGCAAATAAACCGTGTTGAGATTACAAAGTCCCGAGGGAACACGCGCAGGTGGCGCGTCTGCGAAGAGCGAAGGTTCGCTATCGAACCTTACGCGGCCTTTATTAATGGCCCAATATTTGAAGATGGCATATTCGTGGTGGTCGTAAGCTTATTGCTTCTCGTTCCGCGCGGGCTAAGAGTCTACCCACGACGTTTCGTTTCGGGGAATAATATCGTGTAATATCGTGTAGGGGGAAGTAAAAACGCGATATCGCGTTAAGAAACTCCTTGTCTCGTGGAGTTTCTTGTCGCAATATAATGAAATTAGTCCTTTCGATTTGCGCAGACTTTTTGGACACACTGGACACTGCGCGGCCTGTAACAAAACCATTCCAGCTTTCGAGATGGTGATGAGGGCAAGAACGAACGTCTACCACTTGGAGTGTTTTGCGTGTCAACAGTGTAATTACAGGTAAGAAGCTCGATGATCTCTCGGAACAGCGTTGCGCAATATTCGAATGTTTGGAAGTAAAACAAGGCTTTGGAATAATAATTCGAAAGCGTGGAAATTCGATGTACAAGGAAAGAAAATTAGGGACTTTCGACGAGCGAATTGTGTAATGTGGAATCTCGTTAGAGAGTCGTCGGCGAAGAGATTTTAGTTTTAGTCGTGCCAGCGATATTATGTTATTAAATATAACGGGAGGCTGAGGTGTGATTAAACATTCACACCCGAGGGTGGTGGGAAAGTCACTGGTTTCTGCGAAGTATTCGTCGTGGCAGCTCATCCGTATAACAATTTAATTCGAGCCAACCCGGCCGTGTGCCCGGGGGCTTGGCTAAACTTCTGCAGCACTTCGCAACACTTCGCTTACTTATTCACAACAACCAAGTTAAGCTCGAAGCTCGTCCGAGTCTGTGTTTAAGTCGAAACACCTCGGTGAATCCGGCGGATGAAGATAATCGGCGTAAGAATCGAGAAGCCGTGAGTAAGCGTCGTGCTTTCTCGCCGGACTGAACAATAAAGTCGGATTAATTACACCCTCCTTATTCTCATTTTCTCTCTCTCTCTCTCTCTCTTTCTGTCTCCCCTCTCTCTTTTCTGTCGCCGTCAATTTTTTACGAAAGAGATATTTATCTTTGTCCCATTTCCACACTTCGCGATGCTGCTTAATTTTCGAAAATTAATTCGCTTTTACGGGGAAAAAGAAACGGAAATATCCGTGAAAAATGAATTCGCGTACTGCGTGTAACGAAGAAGTCCGGTGAAATTTCCGTGACGGGCATAATTGACGTGAGGACGTCACGGCGGGGGTGTTGAGACATCCGGAGCAGGAGAGGAGATCCGAGCGGAAAGTCGAGAGTTGCGAACTATGCGAGCGACGTGTAGGTGCCTGGAGGTGTACGTCAGATGCAAATCATGCTGACTAATTCACCGGAAAACTAACGAATCCCGAGGGCGCGCGAGCCGAATATCCGCCGTTCCGCGGAGAGACGTTCGTTGCGTAACCGCGTTCCGATAATCTGAAATTAGCAAATTAATTAATTTTCCTGCTGGAATTATTCCTGGAATATTCGACGGCGAACGCTATGCCCGAAATTAACGAGGCCAGTCATCGATCGGAGCGGAAGCTTCGAAAATAATACCGAGGGCGATTCGGTTTGCACTCGTTCGACCACGTTTAGAGGAGGGGGTGGGGGTTGACACGGCATTTCGCTTCTAGCCTAATGTCAGACTGCGGCATTTCTCTGACCTTTCTCCCTACGCTTCTCCTTCCGTCCGTGGTATCAATGGGGTTCTGTTTGACCGATATCAGCTTGCCTGTGCGTCTTGCTTCGGATGTACGAACCATCGTACACGTGAGCGAAGAAAGTTCAAACCGGCGATCGTCGACCGGGGATTAATCGAGCGGCCGTTTCCACTCGAATCGGTTGCACGTTCCTCCGTTCAATTTCAAACATAATCCCGGCCATTAAAAATAGAATTTTTTATCATGTAAGCGACTCCTATCGCGAGCTCGCGGGCGGGGAATAAAAATGAAACGAAGGAGAAAGAACAGAGGCGAGAGTGGTGCATGGCGAGCACCTCCGCGTGGGCAAATGTTGGCGAGCTCGGCGTGTTCCTGCGGCAGCACGTGACTATCGAGCAAAGCCGATTACTGCTTAAAGATACGTCGAAAGTGTACTTTCTTTCGTGGTCGAAGGTAACGTGCAACCCTTAAGGCGAACCATTGGTTAGGGGTCGAAGCGGTTGACCGTAGGTAAAGCGGAAACGGATGTGGCCGTTGGGTCACGCGATCTCCACGAGCCGAGCATAAAACACCTGAGTTGTTTAATCATACGCTCACTAAGCTGAGTCGTACATCGTGAACTCGCGTGGCTTCATTCCCTTCTCTCTCGCTCTCTGCGAGATCGCTCCGCTTCCACTCGCGCGCTTTCCTCCAACGAGATGTACGACCGGATAAAACTACTCCGTTTATCCATTAACAGGTATGTTCCGTCGAGTTACGGTATCAATAAAAGTAATCGATACAGTTCAAGTCGTGAAATGCAGGCTTGCCGCGGAACAGCTCGATCATCCTTTCCGACCGCTCGAGACTGATAAAGCGCCACTTCGTGTTCAACGTACGTAGAGAGACGTTGCTTAATCTCTGCGTGTTTCTACAACTTACGATTGCCTTGTCTTATTAATAAAAACGACCACGTGTTCACCGAGACAAATGAATACGCCTCGCACGAGTTACAACGTGGTGGACAGATAAACGGATAAAACCGAATCCTTGTACCCTCGAAGCGTCTCGAAGAGGTAGCGAGCTTTTTCGAGCTTTGCGATCTCGGCCGACGGGACTCGGAGCTCGTCTTTTGTCTACGAAAGCACGTAAAGCAGGTATTGTCGGACGGCTCCTCCCTCGCCCAGTACTATAGACCATTGTTCGTGCTTATATTGTATTTAGGCATTACGAGTCAGCCTGGTATAATTGTTATTGTTCCGTGGCGCTTATCGAACACGCTGCTCTGTTGCATTCCCACGCGAGTCATCGCCTGGCCTCGTAATTACTCGAAAATCATTAAACTTCCACGACCGCGTACCCGAAACCTGGCCGGCGAGCATGGCGCTGCTATGTCCGCCATTAATAGAATCGTTTCCGGATAATCTCCGGTAGACGCGAGACGGTTGAAAACGGCGGAAAAAGTCGAAAACGATAGAGAACGATATATATCGTAGTTATTGCTGTATTTCCGGGCAAACGAGAGCCCCCTTATCGCTGGGCGCGTGTTTGAACGAAGACCGGGCGAACGTTTCGACGTTGGTGCGAGGCGATCGCGAAGCCGCACAATGCAAAGTTAACTCTCCCGTTACGAATTCACGCTCTTTAGGAGGGTTGCAAAGAGAGAGAGAGAGAGAGAGAGAGAGAGAGAGAGACGGTGGGTAGGTAGGTAGGTAGGAGGTGGATAGGAAGGTCGTGCAGAAGTGGAAAGAGGCAAGTCGCGTAGAAGGGAGCGGCCATTTTGTTTCCGGTGTCCCGGGAGCACTTCCGGTCACCGTCACGCAGTTCTGCGTCGCGAAGTGCCCCCGAGCTCCTGAGATCTCCTTTCACGATTATATTCAAATTAAATGCGGGAGTCTGACCGGTAATATACTGCCGCCAATTTAGCTACAATCCCCCGGAGGGTGGTTCGCCTTACCTCTTTCGCCGACCGTCCGACTTTAGCGGCCTGGAAGAATCCGCCGCGAATCCGTCTCGTCGTTTCTTGCGTATCTATTCCACGTTAATCGCCCGCGTGCGAGAAAAGAAAGGGAAAGGAAAAACGATAAGCTTCCCTCCCCGCGGATCGAGCCATCCGTGCCTGTCCCCCTGCAAACGATGCCGAAAAAATCTCGTAGATCGACGCGGATATTGGTAATCGTACACCAAAGGCATCGATCAGAGGCAAAATTTCGATAACGGGAAAAACAACACCGGTTGGACTTTTGTGATCGCCAATAAATGCGCGTCAGACAAGGAATTCGCTTCCGGTTTTCGATGCAAAGCTTGCCGCGTATCGCGTTCAAGCGCCGCTGCATCCGAACAGTGGGGTTTCAGTTGCACCATTTTCAATGGTGATAATCCGACGTACCGAGGGCCTCGTTGCACGAACCGAACCAGCTTTGTCACCGGATAACCTAGACTCGCATTGCCAGCTCCGGTAGCACCACCGATAGACCCCCCCCCTCCCTCTTCTCTCTCTCTCTCTCTCTCTCTCCCCCTCTCTCTCTCCCTTCCCCTTTTCCAACCCCTTGTCACTACTCCTCCTCCTACATCTCTTCTTCCTCGTCCTCATCCTCATCCTCCTCCTCCTCCTCCTGTTCCACCCCCTTTTGCCAACCCGTTTCATCCCCTTCACCGAAACTGCCTCCGAAAGCAGCCCTCTGTAGTCAAACACCACGGCCGCGCAACACTCTCTCCCCGTTCCTACGATCCACTATCGCACACGATACACAAACTCATGGTAATAGACGTTCCAGCGCGATTATAAATGAAACGCGTGACACGCGGGATCGAATTACTTCGGCGATCAACGGATTCCCTGGCAGAACGATGGCCGCGCCGTGGGAAACGACCGAGAGCTGCGCGCTTCCGCTGTAACGAGCTGGTATTTGTTTCCGTGCCGTCAGAGTGCTTGTCATTATTCATGCGTTTCGTTGTTTCGCGCCGAGCAACGAGAAGAAACGGGGAAACGGAGATGGAAAGGAGATTTCAGCTACTGGAGAACGTACGCCTCAGGGATGAGGGAGGGGAGGGAGTGATTTTCTTTTTCGATAATGTTGTTTCGTTTCGCGCGTCGAATCAAACGAACGGCGTGGATCGTGGTTGATAAGGTACGTCGTGATATGGACGATCGTCATGACGATTTTACGGTCTACACGCGTATATACCTTTGTGTTACATCGGCGCCACCACGACGGTGTACACGTACATATATGCACACTCAGGCTGTGCGTGGTAATCCGAGCCAAAAACTCTCCGAGTTTAATTGAACGCGATAACCGATACAAATTGAACATTGCGGTCAAATGGCAACAGGTTCGGTAAAAGGCGCGTAGCTAGACCGAAGATATACGAAATAAAAGCTTATGGCGAGTCGATCGAACGAAGGAAAAAAAAAAACAGGTTCCCGGGTGCTGATAGTTTTTTTATTACTCGAAGGGAAAAGGGAAAATACAAATAGTACTTTCTTTTCTTTATTGCTTCAAGTGAGAAGGAAAGGAAAGAGATTTCGCGTTGGCGAAACCGACGTGCACGTGTAGGAATTAAAATCGAAATTGGGAAAAAAACCATCTTTCGATCTCGCCGTTATCGAGTTGCCATCAACTTTCGAAGATTTCGTAACGAACGAATTATCGCGTCAAACGAATGTATTTTCCCTTGTTGAATAAAATTTGCGTCGCGATTGAAACCTCGATAGCCGGGAATCTTTATGCAAAACGTT